TTAAAAAATAAAAAATTAATATTAAACTATTTGTTTTACTTGGCTTGGGAAAGATGGTTGTTTATGTTAATTTTTAAAAAAAATGCCCGAATGTTTAAATAATTTAATTTTTTTATTAAATAAAAAATTTTTAAAACTAAATTATATAACATACGAGTGAGTGCGTTGAGGGGAGACAAGATTCGTGATAATTGACCCTCAATTGAAAGAAAAAAAAAAAAGAAAAAAAAGAAAAAGAAAAAAGAATGGGAAAATGCAACTTCTCAAACCCTTCTTTGAAAGCTTTAAGTTTAGACCGTCCGTTTTCATATTTATCTGCTTTAAAAGAGGAAGACGAGAAAGAAGTCGTTGCAGCAGATTTTCAGTCAAGGCGGAGGTTTGGGTGTTTCTAGAATCCAGAGTCTGGACAGGGGGAGCTAGAGCTGCTTTAACTCTTGAAACCATTCGGCGATCCAGGTTCCTTACCTTTTTTATGATTCTTACTTGTACATACTTTACATTGTTGAACTTGACCATGTTTGATCTCAAAACTGAAAGCTTGCTGTTTCTGGTGAATCAAGAAGAAAACTTGATCTAAGGCCTAAAAAAAAAAGAAGGAAACTTGATCTGGGGATTTACATATCCACCATCAACCCACAGTAAAAAATTGGAAATTTTGGATCCCTAGCGTACAATTTGTGTTCTTTTCTTTATTTAAGCTGTTGTTTGATTCTGAAATTTGAACTTTTCATGCGTTTGGTAATGCTTTTATTATATTGAAGTTTTCGTATAATTAGTTGAAATTAGATAACTGTTTACCGTTGAAGGGGAAACTAGAAGGAAAAGTAGGAAGAGCAAATGTTACTCTAGAGTTTAGACTGAGAAATAAATCAAAAGGGGAAATTAGTAAAAGAAATGTTCTAAATAAATGAAACCCACTAAATTGGTCACTAGAAATAAAAATTTCTTATTAAAAAATGAGCAAGTCAATGTAAGCATATTTGGATGAATTACTTGAAGCAGAATTTCCTTTTGAAACTTGTTGGTTTCATGCTTCATTCTTTTTGGTGTTATTATTTTTTGTATCAGCAATGACTTTGGCGGCAGTGAAGAAACAAAAGGAGGATATATTGGGATTCCTGAAAGATAAAAATGTCTCAGAAATTATACTCTGTGGGGGTGCTGGGATGGGGAAAACATGGATGGCAAGGGAAATATATGACCATGAAAAAAACAGTGAAGAATTATGCTATGCAACTCTTTGGTTATCAATGAACCGTAGATATGACGAGAAGTCACTGTATGAGAACATTGCTCACCAGTTGTCATTACTTTCCACTGCTGAAGAGTGGAATGGAGATGATGATGGGGTTGAACTGAATATTCCAGAGAACTTGAAGAAGCAGAGATCAGACATGGAGGAGAATACAGATGATTTGAAGAAGAAAATATCTGAAGAGCTCAGTAAAAGGAGATCAGAGGGGAAATTTATTCTTTTGTTTTTGGATAATGAAGGGGAAAAAACAAAGAGAGAATTTGTTCTCTCAAATTTGGGTTTACAAAAAGTGCTTTCTCAGAATGGGGGAAATAATTTAAAGATTTTGATTACTATGAGAGGAGACTGTGAAGGCTGTATCAATGTTAAGAAAACCCCTGTGATTGAAGGCTGTATCAATGTTGAGAAAACCCCTGTGATTGAAGGCTGTAACAATGTTGAGAAAACCCCTGTGATTGAAGGCTGTAGCAATGTTGAGAAAACCCCTGTGATTAAGTACTGTCACCTGCCTGAAAGGAGCGATGTTGAAGAAGTCTTGTCAAAATTATTGAAGGAAAATGTATGTAACAATGTTGCCAAGCATTCAAGTTTCAATGAGCTGTCTAAAGCTATTGTTCAAAGGAGCAATGTTTCACCAGCTTCAATTATTGTGCTAGCTGGAGCCTTAAATGAATTCACAGAACCTAAGTCTGGGGTTTGTAAATTATCAGCTGCTCTAAAAGAGGCAATTGATATTGAGGAAGCACATGATTCTGGTGGAGCAGCTCATTCTGTGGAAGCTGCTGGTTCTGACAAGGAAACTGATGGTAAGATGCTAGTCTGCTCTGGGCATGACACGCTGCCAAATGCTGTCATGGTGAACTGTTTTTGGCACAGCTGGCAATGTTTTTGCACGCATGGAGCTGTCCATTTCAATGAGTTGATTGCTCACTGGATAATGGAAGGCTATTTGGATCCCAGAGATTCTATGGAGCAGGCTTATCACAAGGGACACAGTGTTGTGATGCAGCTTATAGATCAGGGCCTGTTGAAGATACAAGAGGATAATATTGTTGCTGTTGAAGGAGCAGCAGTGAATATGATTGATTGTCACTGCCGTGACTTCTATGGAAGATCTCATCTG